CAGTCTAGTATTGTTTTCTGTTCTGGTCAAAGTCATATGGCAGGAAACCTTAGATACTTCCATGCATCTCGAGTAAAGGGTGCAGACCTGTGAGCCGGGCATGGATTCGCAGAGGAACCTTCTTCACAGGATTATCCAGTATAAAGAAAATTATAGAGGTATTTTTTAGACGAGGTTGAGTTGAAGTTGCTCTTTGGTTGCTGTTATGCACTCTACCATTGGGTGAAAATACTCCAGTGGAAATCGAAATTCATAAAAGTTGGTATATCTTCTCTCTAGGTGATCTCCTATCTTCTTGAAATTCAAATTGGATTTAGTGTACAGCCTCACATAACTGCATGAAATGTTACAGAAAGTGATAGCTAATAGCAGCACCTTCTAATGCACAATGACAATTGAGCTCTGCAATGAGGGTTGTTGGTTTACTAAGAATATCTAGTGAGAACAATTCCAGCGATATATCAATCTCTTCTATACATAGGATTTTGTGAAAGTGATGGCCACATCTTCTATGCATAATGACTATTGAGCTCCGCAATGTGGGTTGATCTAGTGAGAATAGTTCCAGGCATATTATCAAACGCCTCTACTTGTACCTGCCCAAGGAGAACATTATTCTGATCTAGGAGATACATAAGGTTATTTGGTAAGCTAAATTACATCAGTGTGACCTGTCTTGACATTACCTTTCCAGTAAGCATAGCAAGTCAATTTTTAAACACTAATTGTTAAGACCATTGGGATGCAATTGTATAGATCCTAAAGTATATTAAAAGGGTTAGTAGAAATGGCCTCATTTGTAATATAAAAAAATCCTCAAATTGCCATATTCTGACGCTGGCAGGGTCATCAAGCAATAAATGTTCTACTTCAGGGTATCATGTTTTCATGTTCTTGTGGGAGGTAATTTAGAGTCATGGAAAAATAAGAAACAAAATGTTGTGGCAAGATCACGTGCAAAAGCAAAATACAGGACAGTAACATTAATCACTTCTAAGTTCATATGGCTAAAACAACTTCTGGAAGAGATTAAATTTGAACAAAGTTCCCAAATGCGCCTTGTATATGACAACTAGGTAGAATTACACATTGCCTCTTATCCACTCTTTCATGATTGGATAAAATACATTAAGGTGAGTTGTCATTGGTAAGAGAAAAACTAGAGTCTAAAAGCATCACCACTAGATTTGTTAACTTCATTGAATAATTGGTTGGCAAATTCACCAAGTCTATAGTAATGTAAGACCGAAGATATATTTGTAGCAAGCTAGGCATATACGACCTAGAACTCCAGTAGTGACAACGGTAGACGACGGCGCCGCCAACAGCAATAGATGGTGCCACCGCCAGCACCAGCGGATGTAGTGGCAGAGGCACCAGAAAATTTTTCCTCAAAAGAACCTAACTCTGATACCATGTTGAATATAGTGAAAAACTATATTTGGGATTAATCTCCCTTGTGTTAAATACACACATATGGTTCTCTATTTATAATAGAAGAAATATGGGCTAAGCTCAAAATACAAATAAGAAAATAATAACAAACTAACTAAAAGATAAAAGATAAAGATAAAAGATATAATATATCTAACAATGAGGATTTGATCCTATTTAATCAAGAATATTGTTATAAGTATGGAAATTTGTATATAATCAAGAGTTTCTAAATTATATACATACATATATGTATGTGTGTGTGTGTTTGTGGTGTGTGACTATGCTTTAACTTACTTGAACTCAGTTGTGAGGAGACTTTCGCATTAGGTTAAACACTTCCTAATAAATATTGAAAACCCCAATTGCCACCGATCTGGACATTTAATGTTACTTGGCTTTAGTATTCATGACAATTCCAACAATTGGATGTTCAATCCTCCTCCCATTGAGATGCAAACTCCTATATAATCAAAGAGTTGGATAATATCCAGTAACTATTATCACTAGATCAACACCTGTTGTAGAGCTCGGCTGCCATTACACATTAGACGATGTTGAAAAATTGTAGGGAAGATTAACTATCGCTATTAGTTACATTTAGTGTAGTTATAAGAGGTTGTAGACTTGAATTTCAAGAAGATAGTAGACCAACCAGAGAGATGATGTATGAACTTCTACGAATTTCAGTTTTCACTAGAGAATTTTTGCTTACTTTAGAGAGCATAACAGGAAACAATGGGCAACTCCATTTCAATCTCCATCTGAAAAATACCTTCTAGAATTTTCTCTATACCATAGAATCCTATGAAGAAGGAAGGAATCTAAAGATGTTCCTCTATGGGGTCCATGTTGTGTTCTCTGCATCCTTACACTTTTTACTTGAGATGCATGGAGGTCTGTAAGGTGTCCAACAAAGTACTTTCTGTCATATTGGATACAAAAACCTTTAATACAGAGCTGAACGGTATCATGGAGATATTCAATACCTTATTTAAGGGAAAATATACATTGAATGCTCTGGTTAGGATCCCCTAGAGACTTGTACCAGAATATTTTCCAATCTAAATTGGAGTTTTACCATGGTAAACAATACAATAAAGGTTTGTATTGAAGGCGATGATAGGTTGTCTTTATTTTTTTATTAACAAATTGAAGTGTTTTATGTATTGTTGTGATAACTCTGAGCATTGGTTAACAGGAGATGGTGGCACCAGTGATGGATGAAAATGAATGGAACAGGGGGAGGAATGAATCAAAAGATGAGATTCCCCTATCTGAACTGCTGGATTTGGAAATTAGATGGCCTTCCGAGGCCGAGATAGCTCAGTTGAGTACTTCAGATTCTGCAGCTTTTCTGGGAAGAAGTTCATTAAGTTTGGCTGGAGTTGATCTTGATAGTTATTTTGACCGGAAAGAATTTGATTCAGATGTGTTTGAACAGAACTTGGCTTCTGGAAGACAGGTGGGTACTGCTATAGATAACACATTCCAAGCGAACGAAAATCTTAGTTTGTTTCAGAATGTACAAGCTTCAGAAGTGGCTTCAGGGTCTGCAGAAAATCTGAGTGGTGACTCGTTTTCCAGTTGGGAGGCCAGCTTTACATCAGCTAGTTCTGGTCCTATTCACAAATTGTCCAAATCTATTGATCATTCTAAAGTTGATTTGGATACAGCACCTGGATTCTGGAAAGATTCCGTTGGTGGTAAGGAGAATGACAATTTCAATCCCTCAGCATCCACAGAACATGATTATATTCAGGGTGATGGATCGAGAACTTCAAACTCTATGTTACATGCCGAGACTGGGAAATCAGAATCGACCATTGATCTTATTGGTACTAAAACAACAGACAGTGCTAGTGGTTCTAGTAGAAATCTTGAGTGGATGCAAGATGACCTAAGGCAAGGGAGTGATAACAAGACAACTGATCCCGTGGCTAATGCTGAAGATAAATTTTCATTTGATGAATGGAATGATTTTACTGGCTCAGCTAGCACACAAGACCCTTCTAGTACTGCTACCAGCTCAAATACAACTGGCCAGACTGGAAATATTGGTTTTTCTGTTGATTTTAATGATGCCAAAATACCGGAGGATGCTAATAGCTCTTCCAACAAGGATTTTTATTGGATGCAACATCAGTGGCAAGATAGCAATAATAAAACAACAGATACCATCAGTGCTAATGCAGCTGTGGTCTCATTTGATTCATGGAATGACTTCACTGGCTCAGTCAATACACAACATTCATCCTTTGGTGTATCCAACTCAGAGATAATGAACCAGACTGATACATTTGAATTGACCCAGGATCGTAATGATACCAGAACAGCTGAAAGTGCTGCTGGTACTTCTGGTAATTTTGATTGGATGCAAGATGACCAGTGGCAGGGCATTGATACCAAGGCAACTGGTATTGTGACTACTAATAAATTGGCTGATTCGTTTGATGAATGGAATGATTTTACTGGGTCAGCTATTTCACACAATCCTTCCAGTGTTGTTTCCTACACTTTGATTACTGCCCAGACTGGGACATTTGCTGAAGTTACTGCTGATCTTAATGACATGAAAACAGAAAAGGGTACTAATGCTTTTGCTGATGATAGTTTTGACTGGAATCAAGATAACCAATGGCAAGACAGCAACAACAAAACAAATGATACCAGGACTACTAATGATATTGATTCATTTGATGATTGGAATGATTTTACTAGCTTGGCCACTACGCAAGATCATTCCAGCAATGTTTTGAACCAAACTGCAAATCAGACTTCTGCTGAAAGGACATCTGAAACGAATTTACTCAGTTTGTCAATCGGATCACAAAATATAGAATTTAGCGGGCTTCCACAGCATGATTTATTTCCAGGACAGTTTGGTAGTTCACCGAGTTCTCTTCAAGCTGCTTATTCCAACAGGTTAGACTTGATATTTTGTTGGTTCCAATATTTTAATATAACTATGTGTAGTTCAATTGAACCACTTTCGGAGTGCCAGGTGTACTTGACTGTTTTTTCAACACCTTTAGGAGTTTGAGTTCAGTCACTCAGTTACCATTTAGTGCTAATTGTATAGTTCAACAAAAGAGGTGTCTACACGGTTGAGATCCACTATGGAGACTGTTTGGAATCTCTTGAACTAAAAAGAAGATAACAGATTCCTAACAAAGAACGAGAAAAAGGCACTGTATAATTTTTGTATTGATTCTCAAAACTCTTACAAGAACAAAGGTAGACAAAGTATACCCCCAAATGGAGCACTCTCCTTTTCACACTGGAAACTCGGTAAGACAAAAACATTGAAAAAAACACTGAAGAGGAAGAAGTCTTGTATGTACAAGGCTTTCAACAGANACCTCAAATTAACAACTCCATTTAATCCATGTAAAAGATGCACTTTAAACGGCTTTCATGACCAAATTATATATAAATGAAATTATTTAAAACAAATAATTATTTGTTCTTTACCTTTTTTGAAAAAGAAAAAAAGAAAATTGAAAACTCGATTGATCCATAACGGCACCGTTTAACACAAGCATGTAATTCTGTTCTGCAAACCAAATCGCATCTGACATTGTTTTTCTTCCTGTCTTCACTTGTCTCCTCACTGAATTGAAGAAGAAGCGAGAGACACTGCGAATTAAAACCCTACACAATGGCGTTCGAAATGCCATTAGATCAGATAAAGCAGCTCCGGATTCTGCTCCGCAAAGAGGCGAACCTCTCGTGGTACGAACCCGAGAAGGAGGAAAATCTTTCGCTCCCGAAGCTTCCATCCGTCTCCGAAACAATATCGAAGTTGGATCCCTCGCCGTCTTATCTTCGCTGTAAGAATTGCAATGGCAGACTCATATGCGACGTGCAATCTTTCGTCTGCGTATTTTGCGGCACGAATTCCCGCAAGGACCTCCCACCTGAACCTATCAAATTCAAGAGCACCATTGGCTATCGGTGGCTACTCGAATCCCTTCAACTCGATGGATCGGTAATACCAATCTCAGTGTTTTCTCTACTATTAGGAATGTTCTTAATGCTGAAAATTGGAAATTATAGGTGTTGTTTTGACATAATGCCCGTTTTTCTTTTGTTTATAATGCAAATAGGAAAGAGAAGTAGATAAATGATAGTTCGTTTTGCTAGGCTATGATTTGTTTTAAAATAAATCTTAGATGGAGTTCTATCTGTGCTTTCAGCGTGTTTTTTCTATCAAAATTTGAATTTTACCATGACAATATGTGTAATAAATGCTTACCTTTAATGTCAGTATTGGTTTTCAAGGTGAAACTCCAATTTCGATCGGAGAGTAATACTAAAACCTCCTAAGAACTACGTCTAAGTTTTGCTCTTATTTTTTAGAAAAATCTTTGATGCAGTCTAGTATTGTTTTCTGTTCTGGTCAAAGTCATATGGCAGGAAACCTTAGATACTTCCATGCATCTCGAGTAAAGGGTGCAGACCTGTGAGCCGGGCATGGATTCGCAGAGGAACCTTCTTCACAGGATTATCCAGTATAAAGAAAATTATAGAGGTATTTTTTAGACGAGGTTGAGTTTAAGTTGCTCTTTGGTTGCTGTTATGCACTCTACCATTGGGTGAAAATACTCCAGTGGAAATCGAAATTCATAAAAGTTGGTATATCTTCTCTCTATGTGATCTCCTATCTTCTTGAAATTCAAATTGGATTTAGTGTACAGCCTCACATAACTGCATGAAATGTTACAGAAAGTGATAGCTAATAGCAGCACCTTCTAATGCACAATGACAATTGAGCTCTGCAATGAGGGTTGTTGGTTTACTAAGAATATCTAGTGAGAACAATTCCAGCGATATATCAATCTCTTCTATACATAGGATTTTGTGAAAGTGATGGCCACATCTTCTATGCATAATGACTATTGAGCTCCGCAATGTGGGTTGATCTAGTGAGAATAGTTCCAGGCATATTATCAAACGCCTCTACTTGTACCT